GACGTAGATCCGCCATTGAAAGTGCAGTTGAAAGCGGATAGTGGAGGGGGAAAAGTAGTGTATCGAGGTCGAAATTAAAGTAAATAGCTGAATGGCCTCCAGCAAGCGCAAAGGCAACCTGAAAGTACCTCAACGTTTCGTGCCGAGATTCCCAGTTAATCGAAAGAGAAATAGGCGGGCGCGTAAAAGAGTACGAGTATGTTACGAGGTTCCGATTGATATTATGATTGTCCCGAACCAAGCCCCAATCTAGGCAAACAAGGTCAGCTAGCATTTGGCGAGCATGTCTATTGTTAAAGTGACGCGTTTGCAGTTCGAACTTTCCCGTTGTCCAATAGTAGATACCTACAATCTTCCGTGATATTATCACGTCCCGATGTTCCCAGGTCTCCCGCCAAATTTGTAAGCGTAACTCTGGTGGGAGTTTGGAGAAGAGAGTAAAGGCCGTTGGGGTGACGATTTGCTGGTTGCTAATATCATTTGAATGAGAAATCGGAGATGACTGTGTGTCATGATATCCCGCAGTCGAAAGCGATGGTGAAGCCTGAATTGTGAGACGATGGTTCTCGAGTGGGCGAGACGGAGACGTTTCTTCAGTGGTGCATAGCTGATGTCTTTTATTGGAGGATTCTCCATCATCATCATCATCCTCGTGCTTTGGCTTCCGGCCGCAGCTGGGCAACTGAGACACTTGGGGTATGTCCATTCCTAGAATATGAACAACATGTGCTACCGTAGAAGTTGCACTTGAGACCGGGGTATATAATCCTCGTGTATATGTGCTATACCTCTTCGGTGATGAAAGATGGAAACCTGTATACTGCTACTTTTTATCAGGTATGTTTGGTGATTCAAGCCTTAATATAATTACTTCGGCTTGTGTCTAGAATGTTAGCGGAAAAGAAATATTGGTAAAAGCCTCGGGAAGTCAACCCCAAGTTGCGTTCTCGATAAGAAAAGCTAAATTCTGGCATCGAACCTTATTCAGAGGATGTTTGGTGGTGTTCGGTTAGTACCTCATAAGAGGTAGGTAGCTACCACTCGGTAAGAATATATATTCAGAAATTGGGAATTGGCACTCCTTTAGAAATTTCACAAGAACTAACCCAATTTACTAGACCTGGTAAGAGACCCAAGCTATGAATAGGTATAGATATTACGAATAAGTTTACTGCTCTTACAGCGTGTGAAGCTATATGCAAAATTAAGTGTTCTGGGGGGGTTATCATTGAACCCAAGTTTAAGATAGGATGGGAATCTAAGTCCAGTCCAATTCAAATCTCAAAGGTCTGAGAGTCTTATTTATGATCGTCAAAAGGTTGTTAATTCTAGCACGTGATTGTTGAGAGAATGTAAAGGAGCTCATGCATCGACGGGATCCTCCGGCTCTAACGTTCGCCTACAACGCGTGGGGTCGTCCCCGCCTTATCCGACTACTAACAACACTCCCGGACACGTATTCCGAAATCTCAAGTTAAAAATAGCGGGTGTATCATGCGGTTTCTTGGCATTTTGACATTATTACTCTGGGCTGTTCGAAGCTATGCTTGGGATACTGGAGGAATACCTATGACTGTCCCTGAAAATAGCAAGACGTCGGCACAAAACATCGTTACTTGGGATAGCCACTCATTATATGTGAAGGGAGAAAGAGTCATGATTATGAGCGGCGAGTTCCATCCATGGAGGTTATCCGTTCCGTCCTTATGGCTTGACATTTTTCAAAAAATCAAGGCGTTGGGATTCAATTGCGTCTCTTTCTATAGCAACTGGGCTCTGTTGGAAGGGAAACCAGGCGATTTCTCAGCCGAAGGTGTATTTTCCTACGAGCAATTCTTCGAAGCCGCAACTAAGGCCGGCATCTACCTTATCGCAGTGAGTACTTCTCTAACTCCCTAGCGGAGCTTGCTAAAGAGAACAAGCGACCCGGGCCTTATATAAATGCCGAAGTAAGCTTTGGTGGGTTCCCCGGATGGCTCCAACGTGTCAAGGGACACCTAAGGACGTCGGATGACGACTACTTGGCGGCTACAGACAAGTTAGCCTCAAGATCGCCATAGAAATAAGTTCTCAACTGACTCGGACAGCTATGCCGCTCAAATTGGTGCCATTATTGCGAAAGCCCAAATTACTAATGGCGGCCCCGTGATTCTATATCAACCTGAGAATGAGTATACGGTCGGCGTCTCTATCCCATTCCCCAGTGGCAAGTACATGCAATACGTAGAGGACCAGGCAAGGAACGCGGGAATTGTCGTACCTCTCATCAGCAACGACGCAGCCCCCCTGGGAACTAACGCTCCGGGTACAGGATTAGGTGCAGTAGATATTTACGTGAGTTACACTGGACGAGATTACTGCACTGAATATTCTAACAAGAATTAGGGACACGATGCCTATCCGGTTATGTTTGACTGCGTTAGTATCCTCATGTCCATAATACCAGTGATGCTGATGGATCTAGCAAAACCCTTCCACCTGGCCGCCACTGGCATTGTCGGGAATCTATCACCAGACGCACGAACTGCAGAGTCCGTCCACCCCTTTCTCTCTCGTGGAGGTTGGCAACCGGATTTTTATACTATTTAAGCTGCTCTTACTAATCCTGTCGCCAGTTCCAAGGTGGCGCCTATGATCCTTGGGGAGGTCCGGGGTTCAACAATTGTGCAGCGTTTATCAATCACGAATTCGAACGCGTCTTCTTCAAGAACAATTTTGCCGCAGGGGCAACTATCCACAACATATACATGGTTAGTCATGATCGGGTTATTCTCGCATCTCTACTGAATTGCTGGTAGATTTTCGGAGGGACTAATTGGGGTAACATTGGACATCCAGGAGGGTATACATCTTACGATTATGGAGCGGTAGGTGGGAGCCATTCTGTCCGGGAAACGTATATTAACTCGGATCTGCCTTAGGCTATATCAGAAGACAGATCGCTTTCGAGAGAGAAATATTCGGAACTAAAGCTACAGGCCGAGTGGCTGAAGGTATCACCAGATTACTTGACTGCAGAGCCCGGAGCTGCCCTGGTGTGGACGTATGCTAACAATGCTGCCATCACGGTAACTCGACTTGCTGGAAATAGTACAACTGGTAGCGGGTCATTCTTCGTCGTCCGCCATAGTGACTATTCTAGAACCGCCTCGGATAATTACACGATGAAGCTTCCAACGTTGAAAGGAGATGTCTCAATCCCCACACTATTTGATGACCTCACTCTCCATGGTAGGGATTCAAAGATCATAGTTACCGACTATGATGTTCGAGGAATTAAACTCCTATATTCCACGGCTGAAATTCTAACACACCAGAAGTTCGAAAACACGACTGTTCTTATTGTTTATAGTGGACCGAATGAGATGAACGAGCTTGCCGTGCAAGTCAAGGACACTTCTTCAGTTATATCGGATAACTCCGTTAAAGTGAACAGGACAGAAGGCCTCATAACTTTAGCTTGGTCTACACCAGAGGCAAGGAATATTGTCCGGATTGATAATTTTCACATTTATCTTCTAGGTACGATGTATTATTTCGCTCGCATGACCAAAGCTAATAAAGAAGTGTAGATCGAAATTCTGCTTATAGTTATTGGGTACCTGGGATAAAAAAGTCCTCATCACTAATTATTAATGGGCCATACCTCGTTAGATCTGCATCTTTTGAGAATGGAGTACTATCACTCTTCGCAGATTTTAATAGATCGACGATCGTTGAGGTTATCGGAGCACCCCAAAACACGGCCGTTTTTAATATCAACGGGAAGGCAACTGACTTTAAGGTGGAAGATAGAAGAATAGTAACAGACATTCAATACTCGGTTCCAGCGCTCGATATTCCTGCTCTGTCTGGGTTGTCCTGGAAATACCTCGACTCGCTTCCTGAGATTCAGACGGATTATGATGATTCTACTTGGTTGGCAGCAGACCACCAGTCAACAGACAATTCATACCAGACTCTGCAGACACCGACCTCCCTCTTTGCTAGCGATTATGGCTTCAACACCGGAGTGTTGCTCTTCAGGGGCCATTTCACTGCCAAAGGCACCGAGAAGTCTTTTAAAATCAAAACCCAGGGCGGCACCGCTTACGGCCACTCGGTCTGGTTAAACAGTACCTTTATAGGATCATGGATTGGCAGTTCCAGCGCTTCAAGCTACGACGCAACGTATAAGCTTCCAAGTCTTTCGCAAGGGGCATCGTACGTCTTGACGGTCGTGATCGACCACATGGGACTAGACGGCAATTACATCCCAGGCATCGACACCGGTAAAGCGCCTCGCGGGATCCTCAACTATCGCCTCGCTAGCTCAATATTAGACAGCACCCCTATATCGTGGAAGCTCACCGGCAATCTCGGCGGTGAAGACTATGTCGATCGCACCCGGGGCCCCCTGAATGAGGGCGGCCTCTATGCTGAAAGGCAGGGTTACCACTTTCCGCAGCCTCCCAATGAGGCTTTTACCCCGGGTTCGCCATTCTCGGCGCCGGGGAAACCAGGTATATTCTTCTATACTGCGCCGCTCTCGCTCGATCTCCCTTCCACTACATACGACATTCCGCTCTCCTTCTCCTTCCGCAATGTCGCTGGTGGGGCTGTGCGGATCCAGCTGTATGTGAACGGGTGGCAGTTTGGTAAGTATGTGCCTCACATCGGCCCTCAGACGCGATTCCCAGTTCCAGAGGGGATTTTGAATTATAACGGCGAGAATTGGATTGGACTGGCGATATGGCGTATGGAAGAGGGCGGCGACGCGGCCGTGCTCGATTTTAGACTTGAGGCTAGCGAACCGGTTTTGACGGGACGTGATCCTGTGGTCTTGGTTGAGAGTCCGGCGTGGTCATTACGCAAGGGAGCTTACTGATCTTTGACGTCTTGTTATACCACCGCATGATCATACATACACTTATAGGACTTAGTTCTGGACGTAGAAATCAATCGCATCAGCTTAATCTATAGTTATTTCTATATATGCTAGTTTCTAGATCGAGACAAGTATGATACTATGATTTATAAACGACGTAGGAATGGGATGATTTAGTAGCAGAGTACTTTGCTTTCCCACATTTCCCTCTCAAAGTCCTAGAGGCACTTGGTAGCTAAATTCCGGCAAGCCAGCAAACTGAGGAAACGAATTTCCCGTAGCCTGGTAACGCTCCAAGGGTAGGAAACTCTCCAAACTAGACTTGACACAACCAGTCTTCTCTAGTGCTCGGCCCTCGAACCGATCTTCAATCCACTTAAGCCAGGTCTGTCTCGCGGCATCAAGAGTAGGTACGTGCCACGTCCCATTAACAACTAAGTACTCCAGATCTCCATCAGGAACGGCTTCGCAGGTGGCCTGAAAAGTTGCAGCCGTGGCGTTTTCGGGGATATAATAGTCTTCCGTGCCATGGATAACAAGAAGCGGGCCTTTGAAGGCTTTCCGCCCCGCATTTGCCAGCTTGCCGTACGCATCAATGTACCAGGTCTTGTCGTAGCCATCCTGGATGATATTATCGCCCGATAAGAAAAGCTGCGTCGAAACGCCTATTCCGCCCTCGACTTCTTGTAAGAGCTTCGTTCGCGCGATGCCTAACGGAGTTAACCACGTGCTAAGGTCGAAGTCGGGGAAGATGCTGGGTAGAATCATTCCAATCCAGGGTAATATGAATCCAAGTTCGCCGACGAACGCGTTCGTAGTGGGACTCACGGCGATTGTACCGAGATACCCATCTATAAGTCCCTTGAATTCATCATCTCCCTTGGCCGCAAGTACTTCGGCAACACCCCACGCGACGCCACCGCCCTGGCTGTGGCCTATAACTGCGAAACGTTCGTCCAGGATGTTAGGAAATGCCTTGAGGGAGGCTTGGAAGGCGTAGAGAGCATCGTGTCCGGATGTCTGCGACATTAGATACTGATGGGGGATTTCGCTACCATCCCAAGACTTGTGGATACCAAGGCCAGCGTAGTCGGGCGCCACCACGGCATAACCTGCAAGTGCCAGGGTGAAAGGTGCCTCGCTGCCATACCAAAGCGCCCTATGTGTCGAAGGGCCGGCCGAGGCGAAGAAACCCTCTGTGCCGTGTGTCCAGAGGACGGCAGGTGCTTTAGTGGACTCGCTTCCGTCCCCTGTTTGGAACTTCTTAGGCGTAAAGGGCCAGAGGATAAAAGCCGAGGCTGGGACAACGGTTCCGTTGAGGTTTGAAGTTGTGTAGAGAATGCGCGAGAGCGCTGTGTTAGGGGGGATAACAAAAGACGACGCATTTGTGAACTCTTGGACCTTAAGAAGGGTACCGGGAATTGGCGTTCCGGAAAGTGGTGGGAGCTCGTAGAAGCTGTCCTCGGCAGGGCCTCCGTTGGCGAGTTGGGAGCGGTCGAAGTTGATAGCAATGTTGATGTTAGTGACTGCTGTTGACGACAGGCTTGCGGCCTCTATCTGTGAGCTTGACAGGGCAAAGCTAGAGTTGAAACCCGTCGACTGCTCAACGTTTAACGGCGCTTGAGCCTCGACAAGTGGCACCGTCAATGAGACGGCAGCTAGCAAGAGTTGTAAAGAATACATCGTGACTACTTCTCTTCAAGTTGGTTCTAGCCTGTTAGTTATCCTTGGTGTCAAATGGATTCTATATAACTTAAGGCGAGTGATGGCCATGGTTATATACGAATGAATATACTGTTGATTGGTCATGATAATTATCTGTGCACATCTCCTATTAGACCATAGCACATTACATTACCTATTCTAACACTACTTTTAATACCATAATGACCAACAGCTGTTCCACGGAAATCCGTGGACAAGAAGTTAACGTGGAAAAGCTGTTGACGTAAAAGCGCCGGAAATGATGTTGGTGATATTACGAAGGTATCCATCTTTAAATCCATGAGAAGTTGGCGGAGTTAAATCTTTAACTTCTCAGCTGACAAAGCGCCGAATCAGGGGTAAAAGGGAGTGATGTTATGAAGGATTTATCCGATATCTTTATAATCTGAGGCTGCTGACGAATATCTAATTGAATTGAAAGTTATTTAATCTTCAAAACCAACAATTATTAAAGTAATTATTGGGTCACAACGGTATTTCACAATTGCTACGGTTGACCAGATAAGGTATTATGCTAAAATAAAAAAAATCTGTAAGTTTAATTTAAAAAGGTAGTTAATTACAGGTTAATGCAATTAAATCAATTTATTACGGTATTTTATATTTTTATATGGAAAAAAAAGATTATTTTTTTTAAATATATAAATATATTTTAAAAAAGTATATTTTTAAAATATTATTATTTAAGTTATATATTTTTTTTTTAAATTACGTAATTCGCCTTGCATTTTTTAATTAATTAATTTATACCATTTTAACCTTTAAACGTACGGAATATATATATATTTTTACATACATTAAATATTTATTTTTTAATTTAAATAACCTTTTTAATATTATTTCTTTTTTTTTAAAATATATATTATTACGTAACGCGTAAAATTATAAAAATTTAAGTATTGGTTGCATTATACTAGGTAATTTATTTAATTTATAAAAGGTAATAAAAATATATATAATAATATAAAACCTTAACCGTGTTATTATATACCAATAATTATAAAATATTTATTTATACATATAAAATTAAATTAAATAACTATTATAATACAACCGATATTATTATTTTTTTTATTTTACAGGTTATTTAATAATATATGTTTTAAATAAAAGGAAAATATATTTAAAAAGTTATTTAAATTAAAAAATAAATATATTAACATTAATATATATATATAAAAGTAAATATATTATAAAATTAATAAAGTTTATTAACATTATATTAACAATAATATTAATATAATTACATAATTATAAACTTTAATATTATATTAAAACCATATTAATAAATTAATATAATATTTACAAGGTTTATTATACCGATTTTATTACAAGTATTTATAAAACAATATTAATAAATAATATGTTAAAATATTTATTATATTAAAAATATTATTTATTTCGCCGTAATTACTAGGTTTATTAACAATATTTAAATAACCATTATGTTTATAATAATATTAAGAATTTAATACAATATTAAATATTTAACATAATATTAAACATTTAATATAATGTTAACTCCGGGTATATATAAGTTAAATAAAAGTTTAAAATATACCATATATACTGTAATATAATAAATTTTAATTGTAATAGTTTCGTAATGTAATAATAAAATACGTAACTTATAATTTTATAATAATAATTTAACATAATTTTTTTAATTAACTTTTACATATGTTTATAATTTTATTATATATATAAGTACGTTAAAGGCCTTATATTAAATTATAAAGCCTTTTATTCTTTTTTTTTTTTTTTTTTTTTTTTTTTTTTTTTTTTAATATTATATTATTTAGCTTAACATTATGGTTTTAACTTAACACAGTTTCGTACGTAATATATATCGATTAAATAACCGTAATTACCGTTAATAATAATATTTAAAAAGCTATTTATTTTTAATATATTAATATTTCGAAAATAATATAATTATAATAAAATATAATCGTATACGTATAATAATTATTTTAAACTTAATTATTTTTATAATTTAAATGTAATTACCTTTAAAAATGGTTGTATTAAAAGGAATAACCAATTAATTAAAAGATTAATTTTTAATTGTTATATAATTAACATTATATTTATACTTTATTATTATTGTTAACATTATATTAATAAACCTTTTTAACTTTATAATATAATATTACAACGTTAAATAAATGGTTTAATTAAATATGTTTAATAAATAACTTTATATATAAATTTATATATAATAATATAAAGTAATAATGAAAAAATAAATTTTTTAATAATATATATTATAAAGTTAAAAAGGTTTATTAACATTATATTAACAATAATATTAATATAATTATATAATTATAAGCTTTAATATTATATTAAAACTGTATTAATAAATTAATATAATATTTGCAAAGTTTATTATACCGATTTTATTATAAATACTTATAAAATAATATTAATAAATAATATGTTAAAGTATTTATTATATTAAAAGTATTATTTATTTTGCCGTAATTATTAAGCTTGTTAATAATGTCTAAATAATTATTATATTTACTATAATATTAATAACGGTTATAATATTAATATTTAATACAATATTAGTTTTAAATATATATAAATTAATTATTAAAAGTTTAAATTATATATATATATTATAATATAATAAATTTTAATTATTTATAATTATAATAATTTTATAATATAATGGTAAAATATATAATCTGTAATTTTATAATTAATAGTAATTTAATGTAATTTTTTTAATTAATTTTTACATATGTTTATATATTATATATATATATATATTTTTAAAGCTTTATATTAAATTATAAGGCTTTTTATTCTTTTTTTTTTTTAATATATTAAATTACTTAACTTAACATGGTTTTATACGTAATATATATCGATTAAATAACCGTAATTATTATTAATAACCATTTTTAAAAAATTACTTTTTCTTAATATATTAATATATTAAATATAATACGATTATAATAAAATATAATCGTATACGTACAATAGTTATTTTAAATTTAATTATTTTTATAATTTAAATATAATTACTTTTAAAAGTAACCATATTATAAATATTAGCCAATTACCGTAATAATAATTATTTAATATACGTATAACCGACATTATATTTATACCTTAACACATATGTTAACATTATATTAATAAACCTTTTTAACCTTATAATGTATTATATTAAAAAATAACCGGGTAATATAAAGTAACTTATTTAAGTAATATTATATATTATTAAATACCTTTTTTACCATACAAATTTACTACTATACATTTATACTTTTAAAATAATTTTAATTTTTTATTCTTTTTAAAATACGCGTTTTTTTATTAATTAAATCTTACACCGCTTGTTTAACAATATCTTTATTTTTATTTTTACACTTTATTTTTTATAGCTTTATATTTAATTTAATTTAATTTAATTTAAATAATAATGTAATAGTTATTTATCCGTATATATTACTTTTATTTAAGTTATATATATTAGTTAAAAATTATACGGTTATATATAATTATTTTAAGGTAAAAAGGTTAAAAATAAAGTTTTTTTAAATAATTTTTAATATATATATATATATATATATATATATATGTATAAAGCTAACTGGTTAACCAATTAAAAGGTTATATTATATATTATATAAAGCTATTTAATTAATACTTTTTAAAATAATTATTTTTAAAAAACTTTAACTTAAATATTTTAATAATAATATATCGTATAAATATATAACTTAAATAATTATTTTCGTTTTAATTAACGTTATAAAATTATACCAATTATAATTTTACAGCTGTTAAAATTGTAAAATTATTTAAATGTATAAATATAATAATTAAAAATTAAATTAACAATTTAATTTTTTAATTTAATTGGTTAATCTTTTATATTATATTAATTAAATAAATAATTTTATTATAATAAACCGTAATAAAGTTTAAAAATATATATTTAATATTTTTTAAATTATAATAAGTGACCTTTTATTAACTTTAATTTAATATACAATTAATTTTTTTATTTTGGCACAATACCTTGTTTGGTTAACCGTAATTGCGATCCTAACCGATAAGAGATAAGAAACGACGCGTTCTATAACCAGGCATGATAAGGTGTGATAGTTGACCGTTCTGTATTAAACAGAGCTGTACTCTAGAGTCTACATACGATATAAGCGCAACTCCAAATAAGGGCGGAGAGATGACAAGATAAATTCGTTATTAAGTGATCAATACAATATTTCCCTTCATGTCTTTACTCGGGTGTCTGCATCTACATACGTCATTGGACATGGCGTAGGGCGCGTTTGACAAGCGGGGGTTCATATGTCTTTTTCTAGTATATATATATGTGACCTTTTTAAGGGCTTAAGTCTAGAGGGAGAATGTGATGGTTAGATCCATCTTCAAGAGAAAATCCACTTACGATAGAACCAATTTCGAGGTATCGGTGTTTGAACAAGATGTCTGAATCTGTATCAGTTGATAATTTCCCAAAGCCAACCTCTATTACGGGTGGCTGCCTCTGTGGCTCCATAAGATACCGTGTCGACTTCCCGAAGGACCACGATTTCTTAAAAGGAGTAAGTGAGAATATGTCTTTAAAGCCTTATTAACACCCATGGTTTTCATGTCCAAGGACGTAAAATTCTAAAATTCATGGACCGGGATGAAGCCTCTTACACCGCATCGCTCAGCTACTAGAAGCGAACGGAGAGAGGGCGATATAATCCATTCAACGACGTGCAATAGAATTGAGCTGCCCCAACTGACAAGACTCAATACAGAGCGGAAGTTGTCAATGTACGCAATGCCGACGGAACACAGGCGCTCTGATCTTCATCGCACATACCGCCCCGCTCAGCGGTTTTACGTTCCTAACGTCCACAGAGACGTTGAAGAAATTCTATGCGACACCGGGTATTCAGCGCGCGTTCTGTACAAACTGCGGCAGCTTTCTGTACTGGCGGGATGAGTCGCTCGAAGACGTTGCGCTTGCGGTAGGGTGCGTGGATCCCGAGTATCTATCCAAGTTTGGATTCGCGCTTGCGAATTCTTCAGGGCACAACGTGTGGTGTCAGAACGAGATCAAGGGCGTTACCGACCATATTCTCATCAAGGAGAGAGGTATCGAATGGTCTAAAAATAGCGGGAGTGCTAAGTTGTGAGCGGCTATGGTCGAAGGGTCTTGTCTATGTTAACGCTACCATCAAATTCATAGTCTCTCAAAGCTTCAAGGAATGTTGCAATTGCTAATGATAATTACGTCAAATTTGAAAGTCGAATGTGACATCGTAGGAAAGGACTGGAGATCATTCATGTAATCTACCAAATGCCCCCTCCCCTTCTCCAGCAGATTCCAGAGCCAATCAAAAAGAAGCAGCACCACAAAAGACGTTTAGTAATATAAATAAACTTTGCAGGCAAATTTGTCATCCACAACAGCATCAGTGGTTTAGTGGTAAAATCCATCGTTGCCATCGATGGGCCCCGCGTTCGATTCGCGGCTGATGCATATCTTTTGCTGTTTTCATAACCATAGCGTATAATTTTTTAATTTTTTCGTTTTACCATATATTTTTCCGGTGAATTCATGCATCCAATTTCATACCAGTCTTGAGGGCTTTCTGACAGGAAAGATTGTACGATCAGGTTTGTCTAGCCACTCAATATTTTTTGCTCCCCTTTTCTCGATGTTGAAGCTTATTTGCAGATACACCTGATGGCGGCTTTAGCACTCCGTTCTATCGCTACGACTGTCAACTTTGCATAGTACATCACATCAATACAAGAATACCTAGCAAGCTAACGCTCATATATCTTCACTTATAATACACGCAATATTACGCGATAGAACATTCAGTTTAAACATTTTTGAATCAACTCATCATTCTCTATGCATGCTACATGTAGATAATTATACATTTCACATTAACATAACCATACCAACACACACTCATCCAACCCTCCAAACCAATCCCCCGCTCTCCTCTTACAAAACGAGAGCCACAACAGCCAACAGACCAAGGCTTAAAGAAGCAACCTTAGCTGAGCCGGCGGTAACGACCGGCGCCGTAGGGTACGAGGTCGAGGCCGAGCAGCCAGCGCCGTTGCACACAATGGCAGTGTATCCGCTACCGGTGGTGGTAGTCGTGGGCGCGACGGGGTATCCCGTGCCGGCGCTGTAAGACGGGACGGTGCCGTTGGTCTTGCCGTTGTTGTAGCCGCTCTTGCCCGTGGGGTAGACGGCGACAGTCAGCGTGGTGGACACGGACTGGATGCTGGGGGAAGAAGCAGCCGGGGTGTTCACTGCGGGGTAGCTAGATACGGCGGCGGTCTGCACGTTGTTAGACGGCGAGGGGTAGCTGGACACTGCGGCAGTTTGTACGTCGTTTGATGGTGAGGCCTGGTGGTATTGGTTGCCACCGCCGACGGGGTATGAGGCCACGCCAGAGGTAGTGGGTTTGGTCTCGGCCGTCGTCTTAACGGTGGTAGGGACGATCGTGGTCTCGATGGCAACGGTCTCGGTGGTGACGGAGCCGACGGGGCAGTTGGTCACGCTGGGCGGGCACTTGGTGATGGTGCTGATGCGCGTGCTGTAGATGGTGCTCGTGTAGGGAACGGCAGTGGGGGTCTGCGTCGGCTTCTGTGTCTCAGTGACAGGGCACACGGTAGTGTACAGGGCAATCGTCTCGGTAACGACGGAACCTTTAGCCGGGCAGTTGGTGATGCTAGGGGCGCACGACGTCACAGTGTAAACGGTGGTGGAATAGACGGTGCTAGTCGTGTACTCCGTGGTGGAGGCGCTACCGGTAGGGTAAGGCGACGAAGTTGCGCTCACAGACTTGGTCTCGGAGACGCTGTTCGAAGCACCGGAAGTCAGGGATGCGGTAGGATAACCACTAGCCGAGGCATTGTTCGAAACACTGGAAGTGACCGATACGGTAGGGTAGCTGCTGCTGGCCGAGGCGCTGTAAGTGGATGACTCGGTGAATGAGCTGGAGGTCTCATCAGGAGGGCAGTCATCTTCCGAAGAAGTAGCCGAAGCGCTGTACGAAGAGCTAGAGATGGTGGAGATTGTTGAGAGAGTGCTGCTGCTGCTGCTTGTAATCAGCGAGCTTGTCGAGGACTCTGTGGCAGTCGCGATGCTAGAAGACGATGTGCTGTCCGCGTAGGTCTCGCTAGCAGATGCTGAGCTGCTGGAGGTGAGGTCGTAAGAAGACGATGCCGAAGACACGCTGCTGCTAGTTGCCGCGCTGGAGGCTGAGGAGCTAGTAGAGCTAGAGGAGCTGGAGCTGGAAACTGAGGAGCTGGTAGACGTAACAAGATAACTTGAGCTGGAAGCACTGCTCGATGTGGCAACAGAGCTAGAAGTAGAGATGCTGCTGGTGGTGCTGGAGGCAAAGCTCGAGGTAGACGTAGTGCTGACAGTCGAGGAAGTAGAAGAGCTGGTGGTGCTAACGGTCGACGAGGTGGAGGAGCTAGTGGAGGAGCTTGTGGTGGACGAAGTCGTGGCCGAGCTGCTAGTTGTAACAGGCTTGCAGACATCTCCGTCACAGCCACCGCACTTCAAGGCCTCAGCAACCAAGTTGTAGTAGTTCTTTCCTGCAAGGTTCTTGTTCTGAGAGGCATAGTAGGCATCCCACAACATGGCACCGCCGAAATGCTCCTTCGTCTTGTACGTGCAGATCAGATTCTGAGCCTGTTGAGCCGTAATGTAGCCGCTTCCGAGTAAGCCGACAGCGGAAGCACTGCCGGGAAGGCCGATGAAGAGCTCAGCAGCGCTGTTAACACCGCCGCCGATGTAGCTCTCCCAGTCATTGTAGTTGAAGCCAGTGGTCCAGGCCTCGCAGGTAGGGTTGTTGTAGAACTGGATCCAGATCTTATCGAACTTGGCCTGCTGAAGGATGGTCTTCATCTGGAAGTATTCAGCAGACTGCGGGCATTGCGGAGCAGCAGTGAGAATAATGCTCTTGCTGTCAGCGGTGATGAGATCGCGAAGATGGTTCACCATGTTGACGTATGGCTGCTGATTGTCTAGTAATGCTAGTTAGTATATATAGACATATACTCGGCCACGAATTTGATGCGACCCGCATCACTAGGGGGAGAAGTAAAGGGGTAGAACTTACTGAACTCAGTCTCGATGTCGAAATCGAAACCGTCAATGGTGATGTGCTCCGTGCTGCTGATATCGAAAGGTCGAGGCCCATTGTAGCCGCTCTTGAAAGGACCGAACGCCTTGTAAAGGAAGTCGGCGAAATCTATACCAGCCTGTACCGAGGAGAGGGTATAGTTGCTTGAGGAAGTGAATTCTCCCCCGATAGAAAGCAACACCTTCTTGCCGAGCTGCTGACACTTCTTGATGTCATCCTTAATGAAAGAGCACGAGCTTAGAAGCTTAGAGTTCCGGTTGTTGTTGACGTAAACCTCGGCCGCGCAGTGAGCAGCGAAGTTTGTGCCCGGGTAGCCAGTGCCATTTCCATTCTCGGGCGAGTTGTTCACGAAACCAAGAGTAACATAGTCGATGCTATCGGATTCGCAGTGCTCGCTAAGGCTATCGGTGTCAGGTCCTGATTGTCCCTATAAATAGGAGTAAGTATATATGAGAAACATATTTGATAATGCAATATCATACCCAATAAGCATTCAGCTTATAGTCTTTGGTGTAAGTAGCAAAAGCAGAGGAAGCCGAAAGGGCGGCAACCAAAACTGAATTCTTCAACTGCATCTTGAACGACGTATTAAGAGATTATGTGATACGTAAAGATCGTAAAGTGGCCAAGGCCGTAATGAATGTGATCGTCAAGCTACTCAACGAAAGGACGCAAACAAGATGTCTGCCACGGCTGGCTAATATGCCGTTTCTTGTCAACTCGACTGGTGGTGATGAGAGAGAAAAGAAAAAAGGAAGAGAGAGACAGAAGGCGACGCAGTTATGAATGAAGAGCAGCCGTTCGAACCGAGCCATTCCCGCCCGAGTTAGGGGTTGGCTATCCTGCATAGTGACAGCCGTACACTAGAGTATAGCGAGGTCCTACAATGTGTGACTAAAATTTAAGACATGAGATAGGCCCTTCTAGTCGGTGCCTACTCGTCTCCTGCCTAATAATTTCCCGAATCTCGTAGAGTGAGATTGGGTTGTCCCGAACGGGACTTCGCGCCGAAGCGACCCATGATAGTAGGCAGAAGAGTCATCGCCCAATAAGTCCCAACATGCCAGAAGCACACAGCGCTGCTACAATCGGGAAGGTTATCGAATTCAGGAACGAGCATAGCGCTCAGCCTAGAACTTAGCTCTAAATCTTGTTGACGGGGTTGACAGGGGATAGCGATTGGCCGGCTGCGAGGGCCGGATATTGAATCCATCTCCACGGCGCAGCGGGCAGCCTATAGGCCAAAGAACGGCCCTACTTGGAGATCGATTAAGATCTAGACAGACTAGGCCAAGGGGTCGCTTCTTCGTCAGACTATTTGAGGCTCGCTTAGATTGAGTTTGTTTAATGGGGATTTTTTTGTGAAGAGGAAAAGATCATCGCTCTCAACGACGACAGCTGATGAATAAGGCTGTCGACCAAAAAGCTTTGGAATGGAGTATACAGTCTTCATATTTGGTTGCTAACTATTATAAATCACAACCCCCCTTTTTCACCTGAATTACGACGCTTGTAACCCTACCGAAGCGCTTTTCATCCTGTTTAATATACCTTAAAGGGGGATAAGTCTGTCTATGTATAAGGTAGGTCAGGTGCTAAAGAAGTTCGGTGGCCTAGTCGAGATCTCGCGCTTGGCTAGTTGGTAGCACCCAAAACTTCACAGGTGACAAAACAAGCTCCTCCTAAGTTCCTCCTAGTGTCGGCGATACTTACCTATATAACGAGCAATACTCTAGGTAGATGGTAACGCGGTGCGTCCATATTTTGTTTGAAATGCCCAAAAATGGACTTTCAGCAACCGTTAATCCCGCCATAATGACGTTACCCCAGTTCACCGTATTATGTTCATCGCAGTTGGATTCGGCTTTTGATGATACTCGTCAAAATCCGACGGAACTGCTAGCTTGATACGCGGAATTTGACGTCGGTAAGATTACCCAAAACTCATTACAATCGTGCATTTACTTCTCGGCTCGGCGTTGTCGATTCTGGTCACGGCGCTTAGGGCTGATTACGCGCATAAATCAATTTATGTATGTGGTGAGCTCGGCTGCTGGCCGAAGAAGAAAAAAACTACGTTGCATCAGATCGTTGCCAAACACGTTCCCAAGCACAAGTTTGGAAAAGAGAAGCTAAGGGAAGGATCTCGGTTTACGCTAAAGTGGTAAACACGGTATATCGAAGATCGCGTGTAATTGACCTAGATAAGTGCAGTGACGATGATGAGCTTGCTAGGTGTTGATATATGAGTTGACATCCTCCTTAAATTTGATTTGTAAAACCGGTTTTACTTACTTAACTCCGGGATTCTTAGAAGATTTGCCTCTCTTACTATCCACCTAGAACAGGTCCCTTTACTCTTTATATTTCTCCGGAATATACCTGTGTTAACGCAATGTTGAGACAGGTTCTGTACCACCAACAGGGACAATCTAGTAATTAAACCGTCCCGCGTGGTTCCATAGCTCATAACTATAGTCTCCAGGTTTCAAGAAAGTTCAAGCTGTGTAATAGGGCGGGAATGAAGAGGGAAATGTAGTCGCAACAGACCCCGCGTTCCCCTGATGACCCCTCATTGGCCGCGGTGGTACAGGAGGAGAGTACCTCTCCACGAGGTTCCGAGGAAATATGCTCTCTTTCTTTACGCCAAAGTCATCGACATACTCGCCATTATACCAGTCTATCTCTTCTTCACCAGTAACTGTTATTATCTGACCACGTCTGAATGAGAGATCCTCCGCGTGATCCGATATATAATCGTAGGTGGCCTTCGCCGTAAACGGTACTGAAGTTACCGTGCCGAAGTCGTGGTTCTGGCTGGTCTCGACGGGGTTAGATAAAAGGTCAAACCTAAGGTTTGATATGTCCTCCAATCCATTAGCAAGCTGAGGGGCCGACGAGCTTGAGGCTTCTTGTTGATGTTCTAGGCTGAGGGCTGACCAAGGTGGGGAGAAGGAGCTTAAGGGGAACATATCCTGTAACAATGGCATCGGGTCTATTCCAGGAATCGGCATTTTCGCAGCAATCCCGTTAGTTCCGTCAAAGGCCTGTTTCTGCCTAATAGACGACTGAAATTCCTCATGCAGCTCAGTCTGGACATCACGAATGATTCTTTCTAGTTGACTTTTCAGCGCGTCGGCGACATTCATCTCTGCCGAGTCTAATGCTTCGTCGATTTTATTCTCCAGAACTCGGTAGATTCTCCGGAAGAGTTCCTTCTGTAGGAATTCATCATAGCTCTTCGCTGTCGGTCTAAGTTCAGGAGAACTCTCGACGGAACTCGTCTCGAGATAGTTCCCGTAGTCTGTCTTGATTAGGTACGCCGGACGACTATGGAGGAACGAAACAGACTCACAGGGCGAGGGTAGATCTACAGGATCATCAGCGGGGAAAAGTACAGTGTACACATGCCTCCATTTATCTTCTTCCGTTTTACTATTAAATTCCTTGTTCCGGATTCGAAGCAATTGTTCCGTAGTGGGATCAATGCCCTCCCTTAGTTGTTTTGGTGTAAGCTCGTAGGGGCAGTCTTGTCTTGTATGCTTCTCTAAAGAAATATCCGAATCAAATGCTGTATTACATCGAGAGCAACATGGTGGTAGTCTGTGTGCCCTGTAAAGGTGTTCCCTACTCTTTGATCAGGGCCTGAAAATTCATCACAAATCGTATCACTCTTAGTGTAGGATAGACTCACTTCACTCGATGTACCGAATGAAATCCAGGGCCGTAACAAGCTCCTTTGAGCGAGTAATTTCTTGATAGGTGCCGATGATGGTTCCGTTGATAATATGGACATGCAAATCTCTCTGCTGGATTGGTTCCGTCATTATAAGTAGCTGATTTTCTTCGTTTTGGTTGTTGCTGATCATCACCTTCCTCGCCCCCGTTATTGCCGTCGCCTCTTGGTAGAGGGCGTTTTCCTTTAGCATCATGGTCCTTGTTTTGTCGATTGTTAGAAGGGCTGGCGGAGCTTGAGCCTCCTCTGGGAACGTTAGATGGACCGGATTCTCCATCTTCCATTGCACCCGAAGTAGCAAGACGGGTATATGTAGAGTATACCATATCCATCAAACCACGAAGTAAGGTTCTCCTTCGCTCAGCCCGCTGAACAAAGGAGCTCTCGGCAAAGCATCTTTCTTGGTGAAATTTTAGCTGGTCCTCGTGGCTAAAAGAATATCGACACCATGTGCAGTCGTGAAGATAAGCCTGTGAGCCTACTGTATAGATTAGTTCTCTTAAGGTTATCTCTGTAAGTAAACTAGGACTGCTTACTATCATTAATGTTCTCCCCCGACATACTCAGAGGACTTAAACATGAGCGATTAGCTACTATTTTTGATATCACTTGCTCTGTATTGTTGCCTTTCTGTTCTGATGCTCGTATGCATAGTTGAAAGCTTGTTTCAGAAGGCGTACTTCATTTTCCCAGACTGACCCGCGACGTTTTTCAGCAATTTCATAATAGGTTAGCCCCCAGAATTGACGTGTGGGGTTGAAATTCTTCTGTTTCAAGAGGACCTCGATAACTTTGATGTTCTCTCGACCTATGGCGGCCAGCATAGGCGTAGAGGATGCCACAGTTCCCCCGGGAATTGGGGGTTGGTCCGCGTCCGCTAAAGAAGAGGACAATAGAAAGTCTATAAGCTGGCCATTCCCAGTTTCGGCAGCTCTCGGAACTGCTTTCATGCGTGGTATATCTACGGTATACTTAATGGGCAGTTTAGTAAAAGGTGGTTCAATAGTCTCTGTACCATGGAACTGGTCTGGTCTGCCACATATTAGGGAGAGATGTGTGTATACAGGTTGCGGCTCTGGGAACTGAGAGGATTTCCATCCATCATCCCAATCATGAATTGCTTGGGTTGATTGTCCATATGCGCTCTGGCTACGTCCACCATGACTGTATATGGTTAACTATCTAAATTCATAGGTGAGGTAATAAAGAACCTACCTCGAGCCACTACTGTCGTAGGTCCCAAGTGATTGAAAGGACCTACTCGATTTCCATGATGCGAGAGATTTTAGTGACTTTCGAGATCTTTGAGATGTAATGGACTTCACTGAACAGACGGAACGGCGTGAGATAGCGGACTTTATCGACCCAATTGATATGTTCGACATGAAGGATTTATGAGACTGTCGAGATCCGATTGATTGCGTATCGCTCCTTGCATTAGCATCTCGTTCCTGGAGTACCATAGATCCTCGTTTACTCCTAGGTTTCCTGCCTGAGCTAGAAAAAATTGGGTTGCGTGGCGGGATTGCTGTCGAGGCCGATGTTTCCTTTGGTGATTCTTCGCGCTGCCTACTACGTGCTACTACGCAGGAAAGTCCCATTCGCACACAACGTGAGCAGGATGACGATTGGAATATCGCTATATCACATCGGATTTTCTTCGTCTACAATTAAGGCTGCAAGTATTACTATAAAAAAAGAAAAAAAGTAGATATTAGCTGCGGTTCTTCTGTGGCAACGAAAATACAATATGCCATAATCCAACCTACCTCTTCGTTTTCTTGTTCGGGTGTGTCCTTGCATGAAGGTAATAAATCTAAGGATGAAACTGTTAGACTAACTACACGATAATCTAATATGAAAGATGTTCATAGACCTTACCTGGCAGTGGCGGGATTTGTTCATGAGGCTTAGGAAGTATGCGTGATCCTAATGAGAGTGCTAAATGTTCGCTCTGACAGACTTTTATTTTAAGTCAACGCCTTCATCACCAGTACTAATCTCGTTTCTTCCGCCGTGAGGCCATCCCGGCGGTGATGCATCTCGGGTTAAATTTTCTGGGCATGCCAATTTCATGATAGGCTCTTGATTTGAAATCTCCTAAGGAGCTAAGTTAAATACATCCCTAAATAATGAGTAAGGATGATGCAAATTATCATGTAGAGAAATTATATTTTGCTGAATTGAGATTTGGATTATTTTGAGGTGGTGAATGCTGACAGTTTTCCCCTCCACAACCATTGCGCAATTGCGCAGAATCTAACCTGCGCATCCATACCTATGTGTATACCAGGCTCGGGCGACGACTTATAACTTGGTAATGATACTGGTTACATATGCGTCTATACCTTTGAAATAAATGCTGCTTATATTTGCCACTTAACTAGGTAAGTTAGGTGCTCTTCGCCAATGAGTAGATACTCATTTTTCTCTTTCAACAAAGGAAGACAATTCCCGAAGAGATAAAAGTAAAACTAAACGGGATTTAAATGATTAATCACGCTGTATCGAGAACCACGACCTCGGCTTCCACTTCACCAATACTTTCCACAGTCAACCTGTCCCCCGCATTAACACCATCAATAAATGCGCCATCGCCTTCGTTAAGAACCTCGTCACGACCGTCGAGTCGGATTTTTGCTTGTCCCTTCTTCGTCATCGGAACATGAACGTACACCTTTCTCCTGCTGCTCTCCGCGGCGTGGGCCCCAATAACCCAATCGAATCTTCCCTGAGGCGGGATTAAAGCGGCTCCCATGACGAAGTCGGCATGAATAGGTATGGTCCCCTCAATTGTCGGCTCGGCAACTTTCTCCTGCTCAAATGTAGCCTCCGGACCACCCTTGAGCGGACTCAAAATAGGCACGAAACCCTTGCGCTTCTCCTCGTCATCAAAATGGCGAGTGTGGTATCTAGGGGTGAGTCCTCGTTTCCACGGAATTGCCCAGATCTGGAGGAAATGAACCGTATCTCTTGCGTGCTCGTTCTGTTCGGAATGCGCAATGCCCGTGCCCCCGGTGGTAAACTGGACATCCCCTCGACCCATCCGATAAAACTTGTCCGACTGCCCACCCTCGGCACCCTTACGAAGCATACTATCCCGGTGGGTTAGTTCGCCGGAGATGATGTAACTAAAAATCTCAAAGTCGCGATGAGGGTGTGTTGGAAACCCCGAATTCGGCTTGACTCGGTCTTCATTTAATACCCTCAACGAGCCAAAGTGCGTAAACCTAGGGTCGTACCAGTCGGCGAACGAAAAGCTGTGGTAAGTGTTGAGCCAGCCGTGATCCGAATGCCCACGGGCAGCCGACCGGTGAGGAGTGATTTTAGCATGCGAGAGCATTTTAGACATTGTGTTCTTAATAGTGTTCATATACTGAGCCTTAACTCGAAGTTTGAGTTCGGATTATAGAAAATAGAAACGAGTTCTTAATCGTAAAGGTTAATTGCCTACTAGGTTACCTGTTAGGCAGTTATAGATAGATGATGGTTAATGTCAAGCGGTATAAGATTGACGGTTATCACATAAGATGGCTTAGATTTATTTTTTGGATTTAATTTCAGAGCGAGCTTGTACGCATAAATACGTCTCGTATTCTGCTTGCAAATCAATTAGCAATTGCTGAGTATTGGAGTATTGACTTCGAATACATTGGACAAAATACCTAATTCATTAGTCTTGAACTTCAATCTGAACTTTTAAGAGACTCAATGGGACGAACTATGACCCTATAAGGTTAGTCGCGCACTCCGCTATTGCATTTTCACCTGGCCACCTCTCCTAATACGGAGAAGTGTTAGTCAAAAGATTGCTTACAACGAATTAGCTCATGCTTATTATACATCGTGAAGACGACGCACACCAGTACGTAGTACATAGTATGCAAAAGAAGAACGAACGTAGAAGAAGAAAGAACTCACGCCATCATAGCTGTAAGATATATCTCATTGGTGTCTCATTAATAGATGTTCATTTGTCATCCTAGATAATCAACCTGCCATTTCATAATTTAATTGTAACTATGATTGCTGCCACGTGCATATGACAGAGACTTGGATCTAACGCAATGGAACGTCAAATCCCCTCTGGAGCGCCCGATTGCACCGACAAGCCGGCGGAAGTTCCAGAACCCTGGGTGAGCTTTAGAGGCTGGAAAGCATGGGGCACCTGCAAGTGCTTGAGATTAGAGTTCGGAAAAAACCAGCAACCGGTACATCCAATCATCTGAGGGCAGCAACTGCCACTCCACTTTTTTTCTCCAACATTTTTTGGTCGCAAACCTTTGGATCTCCCCCAGATAGGAAAGAAAAAAAAAATTACTAGATTTAAATCACGATGGTGGTCGCGCGCTTTTTTCTCTCTAGTGCAAGTGCTTCTGCACTTCCATTCAAAGGTGTACACTCAAATCATTGGCAAGTAACTTGAACTCTTACGAGTACAAGACCTTATTTAATTTCAAACGGTCTTCATTTCGCGGACGAGCCTCGGTAATTGCGCGTAACACGACGAGCACTTTCATCGACTACGTGGCGTTGCCCCGCGATTAACTACCTATCCAGCTCGATCTTCCATACATACATTCAGCCCAGAAAATCGAGGTAAGCAAGGTAAGTCCTAACCGGGTGCTTCCCTTTCTTATCATATAAATGACATTCCGAATCTGTGGTCCTTCTATTTGGTAGAGAGGCTTGATGCCAATTGATCCCACCGATTTCCCGATTCAAGATTCTACCTAATCATGGAAGAATGGGAATAAACGTGGAAGCAATCATGGCTTATAACAAGACCATCACCCTTGAGGATAGCCATAAATATTGTTATGATGAGTTATTTTCTTTATAAATGTTCGACTGCCTAGTCAATGCTGCGGATAAACATACTCTGAACAATATCATAACTATCATTTTCCATGTTTACCTCTCGAGAGGCCACACAGCAGCACTAGCAGACATAAATCTCAAGTCTGAATGCGCCTTGGCGTGCAGATCGAGCCCGAGCTCTTTTTTTCTCTGCTCAGCTGCTGTTGTGCTGTCATCGGGAGGGTGTTATGGTACTATAACTAGGGTTTTCCTGCTAACTACATACCTATTAGGCATAGCCATTGGCGGAACCTGAGCTGCAATCATGTGTGGTGTACTCGGCTTGATCCTGGGTCACGTCAGTGACGACCCCAATTCCCCGTGTAAAGCTGCAGTTGCGCTTCATGAGGCTCTGTACTTCTTGCAACATAGAGGCCAAGATGGTTAGTAATGCCTATAATAAGAAGATCGACGGGATTGAGATGCAAGTGGGGGTATGATAGACAACGAATAAGCTAACACTTATTAGCATGCGGGATAGCAACTTGTGCTGCTGGTGGCCGCATATACCAATGCAAGGTAAGCCTCACAGCTATTTCATCCTAGAATATCATCAATATCTAACATCGATACTAGGGTAATGGAATGGCCGCCAAAGTATTCAGTGATGGCATGAGGGTTCAGGATTTGCCTGGTTCGATGGGCATTGGACGTAGGTGTTTTCATTATCAGGAACCTTGCCCCTATCTTTTAAATACCGAAGTCAAATTATCGAAAGATAGTTTCACCCTTACCGCTTGAAACGCTTACAACGAGATATTTACTAACACTCAACGTCCAGATCTACGTTACCCAACAGCAGGCACTTCGTCGAATGCTGAGTCACAACCGGTAAGTAATAGACTCCTCTAGCTAAACAAGTTACATTCACTTCTCATTGGGGCACCTGAGCTTTTGTAGTGAGTCAAAGGAGCTAACATGTTAATAGTATGTTGCAATGCTGTCCGTTCATTTCTATCATATATTCTGATGAGAGATGTCGTGTTATTTACAAGTATTAACAAAGAATAGATTTTACGTTAACAGTCCTTATGGCATATGTGTAAGTTATTCCTATGGTTATCTCTCTAAAGCTCCATTCTCTTGTTGAAACATATTGAGTATATTTGACCCCCAATAAAAAATACGCATTCTGCTTAGGGCATATGAGAGCATCTATATTCTCATAAATCAAAAAGCATTTCGTAGACACAAGACTTGTTGTCTTGGTGTCTCAAGCTCGATCAATTCTTTTTTCTTTCTTCAGAAGGCGATTACTGATGAGGTGCTACAGTTTGCCCATAATGGAAATCTCATCAATGCCCCCGAGTTACGTCGATATCTTGACACTGTTGCCCATCGACATATAAACACAGATAGTGACAGCGAACTGTAAGTCGATAATCGCACTCTAGTTATACTGATTATAATATATAAAACATATGAACGGTCAAGGCTGATAGGAGGGTTTAGCATGCTCAATGTATTTGCGAACGAACTGAATGAAACCGGCAAGGCCAGAGTCAACACGGATGACATATTCAGTAAGTTTTTCCAGTTTGCCAACCCACCAATTTCCTCCCATTACCCATGTCCACTGTCGCCCCATCTATGTAGACCCTGTACTATGGAGGGGGCTTGCTTTTAAGGTATCTAATAAATGCTAATTCATTATAGCCTCCTTAGGCCGAATGTATGATCGTTGTTCGGTGCGTTATGCCGCTAAAGCCTTGGTCTGTCTCATCTAAATACTAATACTTCAATTAGGGCGGTTGGGCTTGCACGGCTATGATTGCAGGATTCGGTGTTTTGGGCTTCCGCGATTCTTATGGAATCAGACCCTTAGTTCTTGGAGAAAAGGAGTCAGAAACTCTTCCGGGTGCAAAAGACTACATGCTTGCATCAGAGTCTATTGCCCTACGCCAACTTGGTTTCCGTAATATTCGGGATATCTTACCCGGTCAGGCCGTTTTTATTCAGAAGGGTCGAGCACCTGTTTTCCACCAGGTTCAAAAGCCGAAGGCTTACTCGCCTGATATTTTTGAATATGTATGTCAACGTTTTATGTTGTCAGCACCCCTCCATGGCTCAGGCTTTTCGTCCTACGAGCCCTTCGTATTAAAATGTCGTGGTATATTTAAATTCGTTAGGGAGGTTTTGCTAATCACTTATATCATAGGTTTACTTTGCACGGCCCGACACTAGTTAGTTCACAATATCCCTGTCCATTATCAAACTAACCTTATTCTTAGTCATGGATGGCATTAGTGTTCACGCTTCCCGCCAGCGAATGGGTTATAAACTAGCTAATAAGATACGAGAGCTTCTTGGAGATGAAGGAATTAAAGATATCGATGCTGTTATTCCGATACCCGAGACGTCGAACACAGCAGCTGCAAGCGTCTCCGAACAATTGGGCAAGCCTTACTGTCAAGGTTTCGTCAAGAACAGATATGTTTTCAGGACATTCATGTTCGTTACCCTTATTTCCCTAACTGATTTGGAACTCTCGTTGTGCCATTATGAAACTGGCATTGCAATCTACAATTATTTCTACTTTTTGGGTGGCAAATGGCCGTTGCTAACCAGATATTTATAGTATGCCACAACAAGGAGCTCGCCAGAAGGGAGTTAGAAGGAAGCTCAGCGCTATCCAGACTGAATTCGAAGGACGATGTGTTCTGCTTGTGGATGATTCGATCGTAAGAGGAACAACCAGCAAGGAGATAGTGGCTATGGCACGAGAGGCTGGCGCGCGGAAAGTAATATTTGCGAGTTGTGCCCCGCCTATCACCGCACCGCACATCTACGGCAGTAAGTAATCCGCACCCCGTTGTGCCTTAGGACATCGTCCTTTTGAACTATGGTCCATGTAACTGTAGCCGGCTCGCTAACCCAAGTGTGTGTAGTTGACTTAGCTAGTCCCACAGAATTGATTGCCTCCGGCAAAGACCGTTTTGCCATTGCCAAAAGTAGGTTCAGAAATTCGTTATGTCCCCGCCTAGCTGTTTGAGATACAAATTTGAATTTTACGTCTTCGGATTAGACACTAACCTAAGCCGCAGGTATTGATGCTGAGGAAGTAATATATCAAGATCTCGATGACCTCAAGGCAGCCTGTGCAGAGCTTGCACAACCAGACGGTCCTACTCAGTTTGAGGTTGGTGTATTCTGTGGTGAATATATTACACCGGTGCCAGAAGGTTACTTCGAGCATTTGAACCAACTGCGCGGCACGAAACGAAAGCATGCTACACATGCACAAATTTCCAGCAGTGGCTCAACGATAGTTACAGGGGGTGGCCTAACCGACACGAATGGCTTGGCGCCACATGCCACGGCACCAGGAGGCGAGAAGGAGTCGGCTGAGAAGCTGAGAAATGGTGCCACTTCACCTTTAATTCGGGAAGATATTAGCCTCCACAACGTGGCTACTGAACCTGAGCGACGATGATAATTCATATTATCTATAAGAGATAGATAGGATTAGCAGCTCGGTAAACGATATAGATAACTGAGTAAGATTCAATTACACGCGGATCATGCAATGCAAGCATTAGATATTGTTAATTTACCTTGACGTAGTGCTACCTGGATTGTCAACTCTTAGGATCGGGTAGTGACTGAGTGCTATACCTAATGCTTCTCGTTTGCTCCTTAGTCCCTTAGTCAAACAGAGCTATGACAAACTACCTGCTAGGTTAGTTATCACAGTTCTCAGTATAACAATTTACTATACCATTCCTATCATTGATAAAAACTCTTATACTATACCATCGAGATATTATACTCTTATAATTCACAAATTTTATATTAGTGATATAAATGCATGTTAATACGCCTTATGCCTTTATAGACTTGACGTAGTCTTTTTCGTAGACCTAAAGAAAGCTTTCAATTGGGTTCCTAGGTCTGATGGGGCCGTGACTTCTCTGTTCTTCTAGATTGATTAAGGTAGGTACCTACGTACTAACTATCAAGGTAGTCGTAGCCAACTATAGCACTCTTTCCTGGTAGGGCACGGTTTCCCCTGCCAGATTAAAATTTCTCCTCCTGCTGCTTCTTTGACTCAGTGGATGTCTCAGATGGTGAATTTAACATTTTCTATCACATACATGCACTTCATTGATATTCTCGTCCTCAATATTCGACACTCACTAACACAATTGTACCGCTAGAGGACACACAATATTCCGACAGGCCTAAGATAAGCCGCTTAATTCACAATCTATACTGCGCAATCAATAGTATTTAAATCAGCCAATACTACTAGAATCTTAGGTATAGACTCTAGTACATCCGTATTTATCTATAACTATTGAACGCCGACATCTCTTGAAACCTCTGGCCACACATCCCGTACCTTCGCCCTCTATCAATTGCAGTTTTCTGTCGCCGATACCTCCTGCCGTATGTTATTATCTGACTATAGCTCCTTCGCCGACAGTATCCGACATAGTCACAGTTAACGTTATAAAGTTTCATCTCTTTGTAACTGCTAGACATTGAGATTTAACGTTACTGCCAGCATATCCCTATTTTTCGCCATATATCAATCGCCGACTCCGTAATTTACTGTCCTGTAAATCCCAACTAGCCGTATTGTCCGATATAGCCAACACTCCTATAGTACACAGCCGCACCTGGTATCTATACAGGATGCCGAGACGTGGTCGCAAGGGCCGTGCTGCGCCCGTTAAAGGCGGATGGGATGTCTTGCCGCATGGTATGGGCGTTTCCCTAACAGCTGGAAGTCAAGAAGTACAGTCTCGTATTCCAACGCCACCTATCACTGAGTCACCGTCCTCGGCGGAGTCCCATTCAGTCGGCGAGCTATTATCTTTCGTAGATTCAACACCGGCAACTGCAGCCACTACTCCCGAAAAAGTCACATCTGAAGTAACAGAAAACCCCCCCTTGGCAACACGCTCTACTCAGCTTGATATTGCTGAAGATGGTACCACGCCCCAGAGTACTAGACGTAAGATCATTATCAAAATCAAGGTTCCAAAACAAGTTGATATAGACGAAGTCCTGGTGTCTAATGGAGATCTTGCCCCTGAGCCAAAGACGGCAGAGGAAAAATGTAACACTGAGAATATTGAGACAGCCGTCGCACATACCGGGCGACAGTTACGGCCAAGGAAGCTAAAGCCAGAACCTGGAGTGTCTAAAATCGACGAGGATAGTCGTGATTCTGCTGTGGTAGAAGAGATCGCTGGTGAGCAAAGTGATAAGGGAGCCCCGAGGAAGCGAAAGCGAGGATTAAAGCCTAGCCCTACAACAACCGATGAAGGATTAGATCCCGATACCTCCTTGCCTAAGCCAAAGAAGGTGAAAAGTCAGGCCGCAAAGACAGGCGAAGGCCATTTTAAAAGTATAGCCAAGAAAACGAAGGACAACCAATATGGTCTGATGCCACCAGGCGAGAGCCCTTTTCCCCTGTGGTTAGCACCAAGCGTCGAACAATGTGAAGAAGTTCACAGTTTTCTCACAAAGATGCATGGTGAAGTCAAGGCACCCAAAGCCATCTCTGCCCCCTCACTTGAAGTAATGGGGTGTGGCGAGGTCCCTTCTGTACTGGATGGGCTACTCAGAACTCTCTTGAGTGGTGCTACAAGAATAGAGCATATAGACATGACATTGATACCCTTGGCCGAAAAATATGGTGTATCAAAGGAGGGGGTCGGAAAAGAAAGCATCAACTGGAATAATGTCAGGCTGGGATCTTACAAGGATTTGGCTGATGCAATCCACTCTGGAGGACTGGCAAATATCAAAGCCAAGCATATTAAGGCCATCCTCGATACAGTATACCAGGAGAATACTGAACGACATAAAGCCTGCCATGAAACCAAAGTTGATACGCTCGCGGGGAAGGAGACGAATGAGCAGAGAGACATAGAGACACAGACAACAGATCAAGATGACCTCTCCCTTGAACACCTTCGTGGCTTATCAAAGCATGAAATCCTAAAAGAACTCACGAAATACCCCGGGATTGGCGTCAAGACTGCGGCGTGCGTCATTCTTTTTTGCTTTCAAATACCTTGTATTGCTGTCGACACACATGTCTACCGATTTTCCAAATGGCTTGGATGGGTACCGAAAAATGCCAACGTGACCGATGTTTTCAGTCATCTCGAAGTCCATTGTCCAGACCATCTTAAGTATGGCTTGCACCAGCTATTCATCCGACACGGCCAACGTTGTGGCAAGTGTAGTTCAAGCACTGCTGAAGGGACAGCGGATTGGGATATGCTTCCTGAGTGCCCTTTGGAGAGCCTTCTTGATCGCTACGACAAGAAGCAGTCAAAGGCCAAGTCAAAGCCGGCTAAGAAAGGTAAACAGAAAGACGAAGAGCAAGACGAAGAGAAGCAGGAAGAGTCTATGGACGAGTCCTAATTTAGAAAGAATTGGCGGAGAAAAGATCGCGAAGCCTTTGATTTTCCTACCTTAGGTGCAAGAAGCACCCTCATGGCCTCTATCCAAGGCACTAGCTTGTACTTTCCCCGCTGAATTGGTGTGCCCGAGGCGGGTGCTCTCATAGAACTAGCTTAATGGTTATGCTACAGGGGGTGGTTAGATGGGATTGATTTAAGCGACAAATCTGCAGATTTGTAGCATGGGCAATAGTATGGTAGAACTGAAGTAGCTAGATAGAAAATGCGATGGGCTTCCAGATTTACTTAAATTCCTTTAGCCTTTGAGGGTGAGGGTAAATACTTAGGTACTTAGGTAAGCACGATTAAATAAGCCCCGCCCCCATGCAAGCAAAAGCGAGCGCGTTCCCTTCCTTGGTCTTACCTTATCTAGCGTAATTGATTTCTTATCGATAGACACATTGGCATGTTCCTTGAAACTTCACGCGCCAGAAGCACATTACTCACTCTTCTACAATTCAACGCGACAGCATCGCTTCCCTCTCAATTTCTCTCGCGCGCGAGGCTATGTTTACTCGTATAGCGGAGCATATCTGTTGAACTAGCCTTCCCATTCAATTTGCACCTTTTCCTTTGTCATCTTTCCTTCCTTATTATTTCTAGACAAGCCCGAACATCCCGCGTAAACTCAATATACGTAATCCCATTAACCCAACAAAAGCACCAAGCATTTGCCATTTAGCCCTAGACGAGAATTACTAAAACGGATGGAAAATTGAGGACGAATAGTAGCAAACCTTCGACTTCACGACGTTTAGGATCTATAGGGACATGCCCCAATACATTTCAACATGTCCGTCCCCAAACAACTTGTGGATGCTTTCGATAATTTCCGCGGGTTCCCTGAAACTTCCCACCTATGCTGCCCGAAGATTTCCGACGAAGATGACGAGATATATGACGATCCGGATGCACCAAGCAAAATTAGCGCTGCTGAGAAGCTGCAGAGGATCAAGGATGGCGAGAAAAGGTTGAACCAGACATACATATGTTCATTGGTATTAGGGTTGGCCGAGGACTCGGTAGGGGATCTAGGCCAGGAATTCGGAATACGAACCAACAATTTTCTGAGGCTCTGCCCAACTTGTGTGCGCAATTGGCACAAGGGACGTAAGTCCTTTCTTAAGGATATTTCTCAGTAAGGTTTATTCCGATTACACCTTGAAGGCGACGTACTAACCCATAGACTAGGGTTTATGACGACAGTGTCGTGTCCGAGATGGAAGACCGCCTGAACCAATTCGACTTTAGCCGCATCACCCAGGGCCTCGAAGCCGCCGCCGAATTCATCAATGCCCACAATGGCGTAGCCGGCCAAAGTACTTTCCTCAAGGAGGAGAAAGAGGAGCTCCTTATATCTCTCTACGAAGCTATTTGCTGCATGCCATACTTGAGCTTGCCGGAAAACCGAAAGCAATTCAATTATGTGTTCGAATCCATCCAGAAACGAAAGATCCTTAAGCTAGATGAGATCTTACCGACCATGACCTTCTTTCTCTTCGACGAGAATGAAATTCGTAATAGATTTGCCGTCCACACATTCTCTCGACAACCTTCTATTACCGCCGAAGACTTTGAATGGGCAATTCACGACAACTTGGTGAATGCAATTTTAAGAGCAAATGACACCAATGCATCTCCCCAATCCCTGCTTCGATTCTGGCAAGGCTTTCTTCATATCCTCAATGTCCTCGATGAGAATCTTGTGTTCCATTCTCTGCGAGCAATGTCCGTTCAGCCGAGCATATACGATTTAATGCTGGCCCAGATGCCTCGAATTACTTCGGTTTCGGTCTTAAAAGTACTGCTGAAGGCCTTCTGTTCTCTGATACGAAAGTCACCTAAAGCATTTTGGGATGCATATAGTCATTATTCCCACACGGCTGTTGCTGAGCAGATATTGGGGAGCCCTGCCTTCAGATCACTGCTCACCCAATTTGGGGAGCATGACTTGATGTTAGAAGGTCCCGCGGCTATTTCTTGGGTAAAGCCTTTCGTAGAATCAATTCCTACGCATCAGAAGAGCGATGCTTGTGATTCCCTTTTGCATCACTTTCTCCAGAGGTATGCCCAGGATCCTAATATGACGCCCGGAGGCAAGCTGGCTTGTACTCTCGCGGCGGTTGAAGCCCTATCTTCTACTTTGGAAGCATTTGTCTCGCCAAGCTACAAGTTGCATGCCGGCTCTTCTACCATTCACACAAATACGGCCTTAAATCTAACATTAAAATATAAAGATCTGATCATGCAGCTAGCCCAGCTTCCCTCCGGTGACCGGCAAAATGCCGCCATGTCGCAAGTTGGTTTGTCTGTAATTAGGTTTGCCCTTGCCCTAGATTCTCGTATCACCGTCGAAGAGTTCAACGCACTCCAGAATAGCGATAGTCATGTTCAACGGGAGGTCAAGCGGAATTCGTCGGGGATTTGGGAGGCATTTTTGGAAATTCTCCAACCTGGCGCAGATGACCTGGCCAGATCAATGTTAGTTGCCACAGGTCCGTTAATTGCCGTGGAGATTTTCCGGCCGCTGAAGAGACAATCTCTATCGCCAACTAAAAAGGAATTTAATATTGAGTTTCAGAAGACGGCTGAAGTTATTGGAAGGGCTATTGAAAGATTGGCCGACTTCAGTGAATCCGCTCTTCAAGATCTTTGTCAAGATACTTCTACGATTTTACCCATCGTGGCGGCTCTCGTCCATGGAGAAGAGGTTATAAGCACAGCTGGAGCTTCTTTTATTAAGACAGTCACCGGCGAGGTAAGAAGAACGGACGCCGTACTTAAATTGCTTGAAGGCTACTTCGTGCACACCTTATCTTCATACACAGCAGTTGTCAACGATGTCAACGAGAAGATGTCCCTTTGGTCGCCACAATTTAATATTATCCGGTATTCGAGAGATATACTTAGCAGTCTCTGCGATCCAACATCTGGCATACTCCGTTCAAAGGATTTGACCGACACAGAACGCGAAGTTCTTGGCAATTGGTGGAACTCACAATGGATCTTTCTTGACAACGCCTTCACCCAGACGGAAGACTGGAGCCGATTGATTGATATGGAAACTATGAAGAATTTTTGTCGAGAGGCTATGGAACTTGCCGAGGCTCTCTTAGCCCAGGATGGTCTTCTAGCTTCCGCACTGAGCCCTCTGTCTGCCCATTCCGCTTCAATCGATAACAGTGAACAGCCTGAGAAGCAAGCCATGAGGGATATTCTCGAGCAGCCACGCAAATACTGTCTAGGGCTTTGCAAGATGCTCCGCCTGAAAGATCTGTACCTTGTTACGGTAATCGTCAGTGTCGTTGGGAAACTCATGAAACGACTGGTAGAGTTTGACATGGAGCTCCCCTCTCAGGCTCTAGCATTCGTCAAGAACACCTGCATTAAAAACAAGGATGGGAGATATAATACTCAGACGAACATGAATGAGCGTCAACGGGCTGAGTTAATAAGAGCTTTGGGAGAGGATACTCAAGAAGATGACATCCAGATTATTTCAGCCAGGAAGAGTGAGCCTCTTAGACGGCAAACTAAGCTCGATGCTTGGTCAAAGTCGAGCTCTGAGACTTCGGTGTCAAGTAGTTCTCGGAGGGAGAAGATACAAGTCAGATCGAGCAAGGATGATATCCGTGAGCTACTCAAAACCTCTTCTTCAGATAAGAGCCGGGCTACATTGGACATGATGAGAGCCCGCCAAGCGGAGCGAAAACTCCCAGTCAGTGATGTGGCAGCTATCCGCGAAAAGCGTCAGAAGGAGGCCGAGGAAAAGAAAAAGAGAAACGCTGAAATTATTGCCAGAGCCAAGGCTTTGCGAGCTCCTAAACCGCTTGTTGGTGGCGAAGGATCTGGCCTTCAGGGGCTTTCTGGTGTACACGGCAAAGATCACGCACCTCAGAAAAGCGAGATTATGGTCAACTCTTCCTCGGAAGATGAGGAGGATTCAGATGACGATGCCGAATTTTTAGCCCGGTCCGCCGCAGGGCAGAAAACGTCCAAGAGTGGGCAATTTGTGAAACCTAATGTCCGCCTGCCGGTGAAGAAGATAAAGGTTCAACGTTCTGCAAAGGATATGCGGGCGCGATTAATCCCTCCGATGGACGTACTACATCAGGCCATCCTCGAATGGGACATCTTCCATGAAGGCAGTGACCCTCCGAATGGTATAAGATGCTCTCAGGTCTCTGATTCATATGAAGATCCGCGGAAGTACAAAGAAACATTCTTACCGCTTCTCATCAACGAAGCTTGGAGATCTTTTGTAACGGCCAAGGACGAAGCAACCTCGAAACCTTTTGGCATCAAGGTCGTCAATCGGATGAACGTTGACAAATTTGTCGAAGTCAGCACAGCCATGCCCATAACCGAAAATAAGGACAGATTCTTAGCAGAAGGGGATATCATATTATTTTCACATGCTTCGAACCCGTTAGAAGCAACAAATGAGCTACATTGTCTTGCACGAATTTGGCGTGTTCAGTTTAAAAACGGCAATTTGGAAGTACAATTCCGTTTAAGCGGCCGGGCGGGTCCTATATTATCTACTATGATGCCTCAGGCCGAACTCTACGCTGTTAAGATTACTAACATGACCACGATTGAACGTGAATATGCTTCTCTGGAAAGTCTTCAGTACTATGATTTGATGCCAGAAGTGCTAGATGCCAAGCCTTCACCCATGCTCAAATTTGGCCAGGATGCTATTGACCAGGTCATGCAGAACTATCAACTGAATCCTGGCCAGGCAAAGGCAATTCTCAATGCCAAAGAGAACGATGCATTTACACTTGTTCAAGGGTAAGCACAGAGAACAATGGAGAATCGTACTGGAAGCCTAGCTAATTGAATGTAGTCCACCGGGAACAGGTAAAACGAAAACAATAGTAGCAATGGTAGGTGCCCTTTTGACGGGCAGCTTCTCTACGACCAGCGGCACGGCTATCAAACGACCCGGAGGGATTAATTCAACAGGTAATAAAGGGATGGCGAAAAAGTTGTTAGTCTGTGCCCCAAGTAACGCTGCCGTCGATGAATTGGTTTTACGTCTCAAGAATGGTGTTAAATCCACTACTGGCTCATTCCATAAGATTAATATCTTGCGTCTGGGTCGTAGTGATGCCATAAATGCGGCTGTAAGAGATGTCACTCTGGACGAGATGGTCAAAGCTCGCGTAGAGGGCGCTGCGAATCAGAATAATGGGCCTAGTTCACGGGATTTGATGCACCAAGAAGCCGGGCAGATCAAGTCGGAGCTGGCTGAGCTACGGCCGCAGCTAGAGGCCGCGAGGACTGTCGGAGATCGCACGCAGATTAATCAATTACAGCGAAAATTCGATGAGCTGAAGCGTCGCCAGGGTCAAATTGGTGCAAAAATCGACGCCGACAAGGATAGCGGAAACACAGCTGCAAGAGAGAGCGAAATCCGACGGCGCCAAATTCAGCAGGAGATTCTTGACTCGGCTCAAGTTCTGTGCGCAACGCTCAGCGGTAGCGGGCACGAGATGTTCAAGAATCTACAAGTCGAGTTCGAGACAGTGATCATTGATGAAGCGGCCCAGTGCGTTGAACTGAGCGCGTTAATTCCCCTGAAATACGGCTGTTCCAAATGCATCCTCGTCGGAGACCCAAAGCAACTTCCGCCAACAGTGCTGTCACAATCTGCTGCGCGATATGGATACGATCAAAGTCTTTTCGTTCGTATGCAGCGCAATCATCCCGACGATGTTCATCTACTCGATACGCAATACCGTATGCACCCAGAAATCAGTCTGTTCCCCAGTCAAGAATTCTATGAACGACGTCTCATAGACGGTGATGACATGAGGAAACTACGATACCAACCGTGGCACCAGAGTGCATTGTTAGGTCCATACCGTTTCTTCGACGTGAAGGGTATCCAAGAGAAGGGTCGTAAAGGTCAATCGCTTGTCAACTTGGAAGAGCTCAAAGTTGCTATGCAGTTATATGACAGGTTAATAGCGGATTATTCGACAATTGATTTCAAGGGGAAAATTGGAATCATCACACCTTACAAGGCTCAATTATTTGAGCTCCGTGAACGGTTCTGTCGCCGATACGGAGATAAGGTCAAAGAGCAAATCGAGTTCAACACTACCGATGCTTTCCAGGGTCGCGAGTGTGAGATTATCATCTTCTCGTGTGTTCGGGCCAGCCCTACAGGTGGTATTGGTTTCATGACGGATATCCGACGTATGAACGTTGGTCTGACCCGTGCAAAATCGTCACTTTTTATCTTGGGAGACTCAAGGGCTCTAGTTCAGGGAGAATTCTGGAACAAGCTTATTGTAGATGCCAAGGCTCGAGATCGTTATACTGCCGGCGATGTTCTCTCTTTGCTTAGGAAGCCTGGGGTCCAATTACCACCTCCTAACTTTGATATCCCACCGGCACCGATACTATCAGACCCCCGTCCCCAGTCCAGCGATTCTTATGGTTCCGGGGAGGCGCCAGTCGAGGATCCGAATGCCACTTCAAGGAAATCTACGCAGGCTAATGATCAAGATGTAATCATGGAAGATGCCGCACCTTCCAATCGATTATCTAAGAAGAAACGCCAGACACCCCAGCTGCCACAGACCTATACCGTTATCGAGCGACAAGGACAAGGTGGTCCGATAGATAATTCAGCGCAAAAAGGATATGGCGGGCTTAACGAGCGCGGCGAGAGCTCTATTGTCATTCGTTCTTCTGAACGTCCTATAATACACCAGTCAGGTCAAAAACGGCCCAGAGATGGCAGTGAAGACGGCAAAGCACCGAAGAGGGTAAAATTACCTAAACAAAATGAGACACTTACACATAACTAAATTATGATATCACAGGTTGCCAGCGAAACTAAACCAAGAGCTCCACCAAGTGCTCCTCGAGCAATGCCACAACCGCAAGATCCATCGGCAATGGCCGTGTTGGGTATTCCCCCCAAACACCCTCCGACAACGCGTAATCCCCCTCCTGGACCCCCGAATGCTCCCAAGGTTTGTAATATCGTCGTCTTACCCCTTCTTCAGCTAACAATAATTGCCAGGGTCCATCTGGTTCTGTACCGCCCAAACCGCTTCCACCGAGGAGAAAACCGACTTCTTCCGATCCTTTCATCAAACGTAAACCTAATAGACCTCGATAATATTCATAGGCGGGATATATTTATATTTGCAGAGAAGGCGTCAGAGGTAATAATGACATCTAAACGCATTCCCACGGCGTACGGCTTTGAGTTATTCCAGTCATCGTAGATAGCGCGATTCCTTCTTCTCTTCAAAGACTTTAATTAGGTAGCCTTGGTCGGCTCTTTTGATACCCGGGTATCACGTCTTAAACGGGATGCAGGACACGACTTCATAGAGGGGATTAGACTAGGTAGTCGAGGTCGCCCTCATAGACTCAGTCCAGGGCTGGGCGCCTCAAGTCGTTAAATATTTACGATGAGCCCGATTTAAGACTAGGGCTAACCTAGGTAAGTAGACTGGGTGGTCTGGTCTATAATCTTCTGTGACTATTTACGCGTGATGTTCTCGGTCCCCGTGATTTAATGCTTTTCAATTTAGAGCGGTAAATTCCTACTGTTGACCTTTATTAATTCCTCAACTATTCTCGTCCTTTCTATCTATTATCCTCATTATGTCCTATTTCTATTCCACGTACGCACCTAGGTGTGTAATAAGCCTTCACGCTAATATGTGTGGTCACCGATGAACATCACAGACCTCACAGGCGTAATATAACAGGCGACCATCCCGTATCACTTAAAGGTAACCCTATCCTATTAATACAACATCCCACATCCCACATTTACCTAGACTCGGTTATTTTTAAAGCATCCTACAACTCCGCAAGCCTGTCTAGTCAGTGGATTAGTATGTAGCTGGACCGAATTTGTCCTATCTTGCCACCAACCCACGTTACAATTAAGCCAACAAGCAGAATTCCGCAATTCCACAGCCCAATCTAATGTATTAGTCGTCAAGAAACTACGAGTAAGCTAATCACCTAGATATTCGTATTGGCACGGACGCAAGGTAAATAGTACCAGATCCTCAAGTTTAGGGATGCCACTGACTTCCTCGATATCTAGTTCATCAGCCCAGGTGATAGAGTCCTAAGTTGACACCCCAAATGCCACAATGCGGCTAGGCAGTTTGTGCCCTTTATTGATATATCTACCTACCTTCGTCCAATTACTTCGGAAAGCGGTAGTCCGTTAATTATATTGTACAACAACTACAATATAGCAGTGTCCATTTCTACTTGCGGAAGGCCGCAAGACGTATTTGAATTACAAGAGTTAATAAATACGTGAATAAATCAATGATCGTACAATCCAATAATAAATAGCCAGGTAATTTGGGTACATATTTTTATAATTCCGTAAGCCATTCCTCCTCCAGATACCTCCTTTTGCCTCCTAATATAAGGGAAACGTGCTATCCCTACTCTATCCCAACCCTCAGATCTTGTATACATAAAAGACACCTAGGACCAAGTTTAGGTAGAGTATACTTCGGCTAAAAACAAATGAAATATAAAGGGAGGGTATAAAACCAACGAATTTCCTAGGTATGTAAATCAGAAAAGATTAAAGACCTCGCTCTCACTAAAAGGCCTCCTGCCCTCTTCCGCACGTTCTCCCCCCCCCTGGCGTCGCTCGACGCCGTGCCCTGCTGCTTCCTGAAGTTCGCGCATAAGCGGCTCTACGATCTCGAGGCTACTAGTTCCGTCGCTATGGGTATTGCTAATGCTGCTAGAGTAGCTCGAAGGCCCTCGGGCTCGAGCGCTACGGGGAAATCCAGATTGGGATTGCAACTGCGCCTGTAGTGCTTCTAATGCCGACTGACGCACGCGGGTGTCCGTCTCGCCGCTTTCTTCCCTTCCTCCGCTCTGCTGTGGGCGCCTCCCCATGCCTGATTGGGCTCCGTGCCCAGAAAGGCGTAGGCTCCGAGGACGGTATCTTCGAAAGGGGAGGTCACCCTGCTCCGGTTGTGGCCGTAGCGTTGGGATCGAATTGTCAAAGCTGCGTACAGACCTTAAGGATTGAGTGCGTCCCTCGGTTGGTTTTTGATGCTGTGAATGTGCAGGATATGCCGAAGAAGCACTGCGTTGTAAGGCGCGCCGGTCTTGCAACAATGTGTTAAGAGTTTCCGTCAGAGATACTAAAGTCTGCATGAGGACCTCCCCGTTCCGTTCTACGTGACGCAGCCGTTTCTCCATGTCTTTGGTGCGGCTTTCCTTTAGCTTTTCGTACCGTCTCCGAAGCTTCTGTCGCATCACCCATTCGTGAGTCTCCTTTTGCTCCGCTAGTGCGTGAGCTGCATATCGTGTCCTCCTTGCTGCTGCCTCTTCGTTTTCTGCCTGCCGTTCTCTTCGGCGATAGTAAGATGTGTTATCCTCCCAAGGCGCTCTTGGGGATTCTAGGGGAGGGGATGGAGAGGATGGAGAAGATGAACTAGTTAGTATTGGGGCACTGATACTTCTCCCACGTCCCTTCTTCGCAACAGCCTCTGCTGATAGGTAAGGTGATTTTAGTTGAATACCAGGTCTGATAGGGCCGATATCTGACATTTTCCCCGTTAAATACGGCCTAGAAGGCGGCAAACCTGGGTCTTGACTAAACCGGCCAGGCACCGGAGACTCTGGCCAGACATTTTCGGCTTGTGGCTCACCCCGGAGAAGACGTGACGCCGGAGGTCGATGCATCTGGGCCTTTAACTTTTCCATATCTCTTTTCTTCCGTTCCCTAACACGATCCTTGCGACTCGTAGTTTCTTCAGATGTGGCGGGAGGTGGTGAAAGATTCGCCTGCACCGAGCGATTAACTCTGTTTGTGGTGGGTGGAGAGGGGAATTTCAGATTCAGGGGGGAGTTAATCTCAGGCCGTGAAGACGAACGAACCACTATAGGGACGGGATGGTACGCTGTGGCTGTCTCTGCTTTTAACACCTTTGGCGAGGATTCTGTCATTAAACTCTCGGCAAACGACGCACGAGGTCCATTTGCAACCCCATTTCCATTGGCGCCGGTATTAGAACCAGTGGTAGCTCCATTAATCGGTGCCGGTCGATCAATAGCAGCATCACCGATCTCGCTAGGCTCAGCTGCTGTTGTTGTTACTGCTCTTTTGCTGGAAGTTCGTACCGGCAAAGCTGGTATGGACAACCGATTCGCCGAGAGAATACGTGGAATACCAGGAGATTTGCCGGCCTTCTTTGACCTGTCTCTCGCCATAGAGCTATCGCTAGTTTGTCCTGGTTGCTTCGGCTCAGATTCTTGTATAGTCTGTTTCCGAGGTGGACTTTCAACTATCTGAGGGACTGTTCCAATTTCAAGCCGTCCAAGGTCTGGTGCCTTCATCTGTTGCTCACTCTGTTGTTCTAAACTTCTTGTAGACAGCCTAGATCCTCGTTCGGCGAGAGATGTCGTCCTCCTAACCCCTAAAGGACTTATCGGTAATTTGCTTAATATGCTACTCTTAGGCTTATTCTGCTTATCTGGTTCTTTTCCCTTCGCAGAATAGGTTTCTTCTTGTGATGGTACCGTTGAAAGTGCAGACACCTTTCTAGGAGGGGGTGCAAGCAAGGTGAATTCTTCTGGTTGCCTCAATGACCTTGACGCCAGCGATGCTGAGGATTGTGATTCACGATCCCCAGTTACAGGCCTCGGGGCCTGGATATTATCATCAGGCGTCAGGCTATGTTCTGACCCAATTCCCTGGCGAGACTTTACTCCAATAGGCCTTAGTGCTGAATGTTGCTGGGTAGGAATTGACTCGGAATGCGAATTACCAGAAGGAATCGATATGGCGATGTATCGGTGACCGCTAATAGATCTAGCAGAAATAGCTGTATCCGGAAGTCTAATAAGCGGTGGTTGGTGCTTTCGACTCTTTCGCCTTTTCCCAAAGACTTTAAACATATCCCACTTCTTATGGACTGAATAAACGCTCACATCGTCGGGTATCGACATAAAATTCCCTGAAGGGGGCTCCCTACGGAGAAAGTCGGCAAGGCCCTCTTCAGAATTTTCATTCTCCCTGACGTCAGGACGAGGAACCATCTTGCCTTGAGGACGAGACGATGGTCTCTCGTGCGCCTCAGAAGTTGTAGTTCCCCTCCTCGAGTCGTGCCCAGAGTGAACAATAGATACGATAGATGGCGGATGGGACGCTGCCAAGTCTCCAACGACTTCATGATTTGTTTGGACCACTATTTCCTTTTCCACAAGAATCCCCAAGTTGATTGACTTGAAGAAGATGCTCTCCATAATAAAATGCTTGAGCGGAGACGACGGGATGGCAGAAACTCTATTTCTCAAGCGACGCTATCATTCGTGTGTAAAGTAGTGACAATAGTGACAATGTACGCCACAATTACTTCAACTCCTCCCGCCCCCGGTATCAGTGACATGACAAAGAGCATCAGAATCAGGTATTGTACAACTTTGGCTATCGAACCAAAATTGGTATCAAAAGAATCGCCTCGAGGCCAACTCGTAATATAGTCTTCACGAGGGGGTTAAATAGAGGCTACGACGCGTAGAGCAACTCCGCACATTGTACGAGGCCCTTTGCAGTCTCCAAGAGGAGGAATAAGGGCCTAATCAAGGATAATTACGGACGGTTAGAATGGTAAACTGACAAATAAGAAAAGAGCTCCAGTTAAATAATGGGCTGAAGAAGTAGAACAGTAGAGTTCAACAACTGGCCGAGAAACTCAATTCACTGGGAGAAGCTTGTCTCGCAACTTGTGATCGACATATAGATATGGAGACTGGCTAGCCTAACTTGGGGAAGTAGAATAACTGAGTTTATGACTTACAGGCTTTGACCTGGGTAAATACATGGTAGCTTTCATCATTTGTCCCAAGTTACTTCCGAGTATGAGTAACTAGGATATGTTTTGACGAGAAGCAGAACGTTAGGCTTGATGAATAGTAACAGATAACACAGCACATTCCTCTACGTAGCCAAGTGACTCGAGGATATCCTCGAGATATGTTTTAGAAGAATGTGAATGAGATAAGTATGCTAGAAACCCTGACTTTTGCCATGCGTTCGACTTTCTTTTTTAACTGATATGTATTTGAATTAGGGTCGGTGATTAATTCGGAAAGTACTCGAATCTGTATCCATGTTAGACATGTGTAAACTATCTAAAGCCACTCCCGAGAAACATTGGTTGCTATGTCCGTACGCCAGACTGGCTGGCGGCTTTGAGGACTTGATATTCCGTTCCATCTAGTGATTGGAATATTTAAATAAATACGTTCCAGGCATTCAACCAGGCAACCAACGATTTCTTGCCTCTCGTCGGACTGATCTCTTCGACTGGTCGTGGTTGGACGAGTCATTGTCATGGCAAACTAAGAGAGCATCAATTTTAAGTTTGATTCAAAAGCCCCCGAGGTCTCTGCAGGGATGGAGAACATCGTTATCCCTGTCTCTTCTTATATTAGGTATTCTCCGCATAATGGCCGTTAATTACGTATGTCTTAGCATTTCGGAGTCTGTCCTCCTCAATTTCATAAAGGGCTGAGTTCTTCGCTCTTGGGTAGGCCGATTATTCAACTATCTCAAAACTCACACCCCGACCCAACACCACCAGTTAGACATGAGGAAGCGCCGGTTTATGGCGATGTGGAATCTCTCCCTTGAAACTAAGTCGTCCTTTTTACGTCTATCTGCGTATTTGAAGATGCGTTCCCAGCTTAGCCTATGGACTACCTACCGTTACAGGGGATCCGTCACCAGGAATTGTAACAACCCGCTTGTCACGCTCCCTCAGGTCTGAAGATGTACTATCAGTAAAATATCGTACGTGGAAGTAACCCAGCGAGATATTCTTGGTAGCATCGCCAGATACGCTACGAAGTCCTCCGAAAGCACCGCGAGCAAGCACGTCGATTAGGCCACATCCTTCATCCAGAACATCGAAAGCAGACAAATCGGTACAGATGGTAATCGGCAAAAAGACCCTCCCGTGCTGACATGACTATTTGGAGGGTGAGTATGAACTGAAAGTTCCACCTTGGGATCGCTGAGAGATAGTATCGGAGATGCAGATAGTGTCACGTTTATCTTTGCTTGATTCACATAAGAGACGACATCGTTTCTATCAGACGCCATGGCTGAATAAAGTCCGCACAAATATTAATGTAAGTAAATTATTAATAGACTTGGCAGGTTGATATATGTTTAACTGAGCCCTGTTGCACTATAGACTGTGGACTTGGATGCTAGCTACCATAGCGGCAAAAGGTGGTTTTGAGAAATGGTTCCTTAACGGAGTACTTATCTCAGCAAGCTCAGACCAGTAATGCGAAATTTTTTTCGTTCATCTCGTTGTACCCTCTTAGCCACACCAATTTTCAACCAATCATACTTTTAACTTACCTTCAAAAAAAATTTCGCATTTCTGGTCTGAGTTAATTTGGTCTTTTTTACCCCTTTTATGGTATACCAAACCTAATAGTTATAATTACCATGTAAGTAATAATTTATTTATTAAATACTTTTTAACTTTATTATTAAGTTTAACTATCGATTAAATCTATGTGTTTCGAGTCTTTCAGGGTGTTGAAAGTGGGGTTAAAAGTGGTCAATATTAACTGCAACACCGGTCGCAACACGGTAGCCGCAACACGCAACGAGGTCGTACGGGTATAAAAAAAAAAGACGAAAATGTTGGGGTAATTGAATAATAGCCTTTAAAGCATTTTATACGTGGTTGCGGGTGTTATTGTGGTGTTGATAAAGGTGGCCAGTATTAGCCGCAATACCGGTTGCAACGCGGTAGCCGTAACTTGGTAGCTGTAACATGCGACGAGGCCGTACGGGTATAAAAAAAAGCCGGGAAGGTTGGGGTAATTAAATAAGAGCCTTTGAAGCATTTTATACGTTGTTATAGGCGTTGTTGTGGGTATTGTGGGTGTTGTTGGTGTTAACTGCGGCATATTACCGGTTGCGATATTACTTTTACGTTAGACGTTAAGGCTTGCAATATTATAATGCGATGTTGTACAGGTATGTAAAAAAGATGGGAAAGTAAAAAAAGTAAAATATTAGCTTTAAGTTATAAAAATAAAAAGCATTTTATACGTTGTTGTTAAATATTAAGTTATTGTAAATTTATTATTATTAAAAAAGTTGTGTTACGTAAGTTTTTTTAATAATTAAATTAATTTAAATTAAAATTTAAAAAACATTTAAATCGTGATTTATAAATATAAACACACGAACCATGCGTTTTATAACGTTATAACGTTAATTAATAAATAAAACCCGTTTTTTAAATTTTAATTTAAATTATTAAAATAACCTTTTAAAATAATATCGAATTTTTAGTTTAAAATTTTTTTAAAACCCGTTTTTTTAAAAATTAAATTTATAATATAAAAAAACATCGTTAAAAATAACATTATTAAAATAATCATTAAAACAATAATATTAACGCGTTTTTATAATAAATAATAAATTATATAATTATTATTAACTTTATTATTAAATTTATTAATTAAATATACGTGTTTTAAATTAAAATTAATTATAACATTAATTATAACACCGGTTATATCGGTTATATCGGTCGCATTTATTATAACGCATTAATTATAACGCGTGTTATAATACGTGTTAAAATATAATATTTAAAATTATACAAATATATAAAAAAAAGTTTAAATAATAATATTATTAAATTAATTATAATAAAAAGCATTTTATATATATATATAATATTAATTATATTATTAATTAATTTATTAATTATGTTAATTTTTTACCATTTTTATGTTAAATATTTTTTTAACGTTAAAATTTAATATATAATAACATAACGTTATATAAATATAAAAAAAAGTTAAAAAAATAAAAAAAAATTAATTTTAAAATTAAATTATTATAATAAAAGTTATTTTATACATTATTAAAATTTATTAAATTATTAAAAATATTATTTTTTATTTTTTATTAATAATTTTATGTTAAATGTTTTTTACGGGTTTAAAGTAACTTTAAACTTAAATTTATAAAACGTTTTATTTATAATTTATAAATATAATTATACGGGCCATGCGTTACGTGGCGTTTGTGGCGTTAATAAACGTGGGTAAACGTAACCCGTTTCCACGAAATTTAAGTTTAAAGTCATTTAAAATAAATATATTTACTTAAATTAAAAATTTTTTTAATTTAAATTAAATATATTAAATAATATTAATATATATTTCGTTTATAAAATAAATTAATATAATAAACGTTATTATTATTAATAATTTTTTTTTAAAATTTTTAATTTTTTTTTTTATTTTTTTACATTATTTATTTTATATTTTTTTTAAATAATTTTTTTATATTTTTTTTTAATATTAATAATTTATTATAATTAATATATATTATATTAACCGTTTTATATTATTAAAAGTTAATTTATATATTTATTATAAATTAAACATAAATTTTATTAATTATATATTTATTTTATTTATTTAATATATTAATTTAAATTTAATTATTAATTAATTTTATAAATAAAAAGTTTAATATTAAATAATTTATTTTTATTATTATAAAAAAATAATTTACTTTTATTATATTAAAAAAATAAATTAAATTTAATTTTATTAAATATATTTTAATTTATTAATAAATATTTTTTTTATTTATAATTGTTTAATTTTCGGTTTATAATAAATAAAGTAAAAATTATATTAATAATATAAGTTTAAAAAAATATAAACTTTTATTAAAATATATTTTAATAAATTTTTTTTTTTAATTTAAATTAATATTATAATAATATTATTAATTAATAGTTTTTAATATTTATAAAAGTTATAAATAAATAAAGGTTATTTTTATAATAGTTTAAAAATAATTTAAATTAAATTTTATTATAATTTAAAATTATATTAATATTTTTTAACTTTTTATAATTTTAATATTATTATTTAATTTATTTAAAATTAATATTTAAAATTAAATTTATTATTATTTTAATTTAAAAAATTATTTAATTATATTATAAAATTATTTT